AGATTAGTAAACCTGAATATCGAGTAAAATGAATATAGCCAAATATAGTAAAGACAGGCAACATTTTATAAGATATAATTTTAACTAGATAGAGGTTGGAGAGAAGCTAACCATTTCTAATTATTTATTAGAACAAAAAGTATGAATGAGGCAGACCAAATAAGGCCAGCCAGATCCAAGATTTGGGAAAAGAAAATCTTTCCCTCCACGGAAGCAGCCTCAAGGGCACATTGCAGAGAGCCCGGATCAGACAGGAATGATAAATGGTTGTCATTCTTGCAATCAGTGTTATTATTTTTCTTGCAGCTCAGGTTTATATAACTGTTCTAAGTCAAGTAAATTGTCTAAAGCTGCACAGCTACTAAGAGACTGGGATGGCAGTCCAGACCAACTCTGTTAAATGTTCATAATCTCCATAGACTACACTAACTTATGCATCTTCCCCGGATCTTAGAGGCTCTGGAGAGTGACAGTTCTGCAAGTAGAGGCAGAATGTATTTGAGATTTTTATCCATCTCTTATTACCCTTTACCATTAGGAATAATCTCCTCTGAAAAATGCTTCTGAACCATCTTGGAAGGTCTTTTAATAATTTAAGAAAATGGCTGAGGGCTGAGAAATCCAAGGTACCACATTATGCTATTTATTTTACATCATAGGAAAAATTTGAAAACATATAGAATGCACTCCACATATTTTTATATATATATATATATATTTTTTTTTTGGTATTTGCAGGCTATTTATGTTTTCAACATAGATTAAATCAAATTACTGTGCCAGAGACAGTCTCTTCTCTAAAAGCAAGTGACATAAAAACAGATCCTCAAAGAGACATTTTCTCCTGCTGCAACTTAACTAAACAGCTGAGTATGTCTACAAGTCGTACTTTGAGTTTAATAGAATAAATTTGTTTTCCAAGACCCCTAATCCGGCAGTACCAATGGGTCAAATCCCTGCAACAGACATGAAAATCACAAACAGCTAATGCATTCCTCATCCTGAACCGGTGCTTCTGAACCCTGGCAGCATATTAGAATCACCTGGGAAGGGGCTTTAGCATTCTTCAAACCCAAGTTGCAGCACAGCAATAAAATCAAAATCTCTGGAGTGAAACCCAGACAGCAATAGTGTTTAAAGTTCTTCATTTGATTACAGTGTGTGGCCAAGCCCAAAAACCACTTCTTTAAACCAGGACCTTTTGGTGAACTAGTTACAAATTATCTTTCAAATGCATATAAAATATTTTCTACTGAGACGCTGAGTTAAAATTTCTGAGCAAATGTAAAATATTTAATTGTTTATTGATGTGCAACATACATACAGAAATGCACACAGAAACATTCATGTAAGACTTGATGGATTATAACAGAGAATTAACTTTAACAACTGAGAAATAAAACTAGCTTTACTCATGCCAAGAAAATAACTTACTCCCTCTCTCCCTTTTCAAAGGTAATCAAGTTAACATTACAGACAAATTTTGTCTATTTATGCAAGTTTTAACAAAAAAACTTTTTTTTAACATATAAAAATAAAATAGTATAGTAGATCTGTTATCCAGCTTCAGCAACTACTAATCAGGTGTGGTGGCTCACACCTGTAATCCCAACACTTTGGGAGGCTAGGGCAAGTGAATCACAAAGTCAGGAGATCAAGACCATCCTGGCCAACATGGTGAAACCATGTCTCTACTAAAAATACACACACAAAAAATTACTTGGGGTTGGGGTGGTGGCATGCACCTGTAGTTCCAGATACTCAGGAGGCTGAGGCAGGAGAATCTCTGGAACCCAGGAGGCAAGAGTTTCAGTGAACCGAGATCACACCACTGAGCTCCAGCCTGGTGACAGAGTGAGACTCCACCTCAAATAAATAAATAAACTCAAAATGAACTAATTTTTGGTTGTTATTAAAATGGAATTTTAAATTTTATTTTTCAGATAGTTTGCTATTAGCATACAGAAAGCTACTACTTTGTTGATTTTCTACAACTTTACTGAATTCGTTTAGTAGTTCTAATAGTTTTTGCTGTAGTGTTTAGAGTTTTTCACATATAAGATTATTTTGTCCAAAATCACAGACCATTTGACTTCCTCCTTTCCAATTAGTATAGCTTTTATTTCTTCCTCTTGCCTATTTTCCTTTGCTAGGACTTCCTACATTGAGTAAGAAGGATGAAAGTGGGGATGCTTTGTCTTGTTCCAGATCTCAGAGAGAAAGCTTTCAGCTTTTCCTTATTCAGTATAATGCTATCATTGCTTTGTCATAAATGGCCTTTATTGTGTTGAGGCACATACCTTCTATTCCTAACTTGTTGAGAGTTTTCATCATAATGTTGATTTTCATCCAATGCTTCTTCTGCATATGCAAAAGCTACAAAAATTAAAATACCTAATGTAGTGGTTAATACTGGGTGTCAACTTGATTGGATTGGAGGATAGAAAGCATTGATCCTGGGTGTGTCTGTGCGGGTGTTGCCAAAGGAGATTAACATTTGAGTCAGTGGGCTGAGAAAGGGAGACTCACTCTTAATTGGGTGGGCACCGTCTAATGAGCTGCTAGTGAATAGAAAGCAGGCAGAAAAACATGAAAAGGAGAGATCGGCCTAGGCTCCCAGGCTACATCTTTCTCCCGTTCTGGACGCTTCCTGCCCTCAAACATCAGACTCCAAGTTTTTCAGTTTTGGGATGTGGACTGGCTCTCCTTTCTCCTCAAATTTGCAGACAGCCTATTGTGACATCTTGTGATCTGTAAATTAAAACTTAATAAACTCCCATTTACATATGTGTGTATATATATATTCTCCTATTAGTTCTGTTTCTCTAGGGAACCCTAATACACCTAGCAACAAACTTAACTAAAAAGGTAAAAGATCTCTACACTGAAAACTACAAAATGTGGATAAAAAGTATAAAATACAAATGAATAAATAAAAAATATTTTGTTTATAGACTGGAAGAATACTGTGAATACAGCTACACAGAGTGATCTACGGACTTAACATGATTTTTATCAAAATACCAATGACAATTTTTCACAGAAATAGAACAAATATTCTATACTTATGTGGATCCACAAAAAACTGTGACTAGACAAAGGAACTTTCAGCAAAATAAGCAAAGTTGAAGGCATCACTTTATCAAACTTAAAAACTCGCTGTAAAGCTATAGTAACCAAAACAGCACTGTACTGGTATAAAAACAAACACGTAGACTAATGTGCCCAATAAGCCCAGAGTTAATTTATGCACCTAAAGCCAATTGATTTTCAACAAAAGTACCAAGAATACACTTTAAGGAAAAGCTAATCTCTTCAATAAATATTACAGGGCCATTTAAATATTTATATGCAGAAAAATAATACTAGACCCTTGTGCCTTGCCATATATGAAGATCAACTAAAACTAAAGACTTAAACGTAATACCACAAATTATGAAACTATTAGAGAAAAATGTAGAAAAAATGCTTGATAACATTGGACTGGGAAAGGATTATTAAAATAAGGCTTCAAAACATAGGCAACAAAATCAAGAATAAGCAAACAACATTATGTCAAACTTAAATGCTTTTTCATATTAAAAAAACAACTAAAAGATTGAAGAGACAACTTAGGTGATGAAAGGAAATGTTTTCAGGCTATACATCTGACAAAAGGCTAATATTCAAAATATATAAGAAACTTGAAAATCTCAAAATAAAACACACATAATCTAATTAAAAATATGCAAAAAATCTTAATGATGTTTGTCAAAAAGAGACGCAAAAATGGCTAACTGCAACATAAAAAGAGGCTCTACGTTACTAATAATCAAGGAAATGTTAATCCACACCACAATGGGGTACCACCTCACTCCCATTAGAATGGGTGTAATAAAAACAAATAAATAAATAAATAAATAAAACAAGTAGTAGTGAGGATATAAAAAAAGAGTGGACGTATACACTGTTGGTGGAATTGTAAATTAGTATGGCCATTATAGAAAACAATATGGAAGTTTCTGAAAGAAATTAAAGATAGATCTATTATATGATCCAGTAATTTTACTCTTGGGTGTATATCCAAAAGAAAGGATATCACTGTGTCAAAAAGGTATTTGCATTCCCATGTTTATTACAGAACTATTTATAGTAGCTGACATATGGAATCAATTGAAATGTACAGCAACAGATAAATGGATAAAGAAAATGTGCTATATATATGCAGTGAATATTCAGCCATAAGAAAGGATAAAATTCTGTCAGTTAAAACAGCATGGATGAACCTTGAGGATATCATGTTAAGTAAAATAAGTCACATAGAGAAACACAAATACTTTATGATCTTATTATCTCACTCATTTGAGAAGTCTGAAAAAAAGGGTTGATATAAGCAAAGAGTACAACAGGGGTTACTAGAGACTGAAGCAGAAGGATGGGGAAAGGCTGTTTAACAGGTATTGGGTTACAATTACATAGGAGAAATAAGTTTTTGTTTTCTATTACACAGTAGAGTAATAATAATTAATGAAAAGTGTTGCATATTACAAAATAGCTAAAAGAGACCAGTTATGGTGGCAGATTCCTGCAATTCATACCTTTTGGGAGACTGAGGTAGGAGAATCACTTGAAGTCAGAGGTTCAAGACCAGCCTGGACAACAAAGTGCAACCCCATCTCTATGAAAAATAAAAACATTACCCAGGCATGGTGGCAGGTTCCTGTAGTCTCAGTTAATTAGGAAGCTAAGGTTCAAAGATGGTTTGAGGTTACAGTGAGCTATGATTGCACCACTGCACTCCAGTCTGGGTATTAGAGCAAGATCCTGTCCCTAAAAAAAAATAATAAATAAAGATAAAATAAAATAGCTAGAGAAGAAGCTTTTGAATGTTCTCACCACAAAAATAACAAATGCATGAGGCAATAAATATACTAAGCACTCTGATTTTTATCATTATACAACATATATATATATAATTGTTTCCCCAAAATATGTACAATTGCAGGTGTCAATTTTAGAAAATGAATGAAGACTATAATGTAAAACCTGTAGCTGTAAAATTCCTAGCACAATACAGAAGGGTGAAGCTTCATGACAATTGGTCTTGACAATAATTTGGGGGAGGTAATATCAATGGATCAGACAACAAAAGCAAGGGAATACACATGGTACTGAATCAGTGTGTCAAAAATATCCCAAACAGGCAAAGCAGAACATGGAATAGATACTTGCACATTTATGTACATTGTAGTATTACTCACAAACATACTACCTGGAAGCAAATGTGCCTTTAAGGATGAGTAGATTCAAAAAACAGTGCACTTATCTGCACTGGGATAGCATTCAGTCTTAAAAATAAGGAAATCTTGAAAAGTACTACACTAAGGACAAATATTGAAAACATTCTTAACGTAAAATAAGACACTCAAAAAGGAAGACTGTATAATTACACTTATGTAAAATATTTAGTCAAACTCATAGAAACCACGTGTTGTAGTCTCAGCAGTGCACCAATATGTCACAGTCTCTCATCTGAGATAATACCCAGAGTCCTTTGTTCTACCTCTAAGGAGATTAGGGAGCGTGAATACGAAGGTGAGGTTAGAGTGAAAGTTTAGTAAGCAAGAAAAGAAAGTTCTTTGACAGCAGACATAGATGTCTGAACGGGGTACCCTCTATAAGGCTGGGGTCCAGGGTTTTTATGGACTGGGAAGGGAAGGGAAGGGAAAGTGCCTAGTTCACAGGCTGTCTTGAAAAACAAGTGGCTCGGCTTGGCCCAGGACTTTGGCCTGGGATCAATCAGGAGCTGAAGGGATGATTCATAGATTCTGCTTAGCTTGACCCAGGACTTATCAGAAGCTAAGGTGAAAATTTGGCCCAGGAACTTGGCCCGGGAGCAATCAGGGGCTGAAGTTAATATTCATAGAGGTCAGACTTACAGTCCAAATAAAGGAGAGTGTTGACCGGAATGCTTCAGAGCCCACTGTGGCCATGCCCACAAAAGGAGAAGAAACTATTGCCTAGGAGCCCACTGACTGTACAAAGGACAAAGGCATTTCTTTTTTTCTTTTCTTTTCTTTTTTTTTTGGGGGGGGGGGATGTAGTTTTGTTCCTGTTGTCCAGGCTGGAGTGCAATGGTGTGATCTCAGCTCACAGAAACCTCCGCCTCATGGGTTCAAGCGATTCTCCTTCCTCTGCCTTCCAAGTAGCTGGGATTACAGGCATGCAGCATCACACCTGGCTAATTTTGTATTTTTGGTAGAGACAGGGTTTCCCCATGTTGGTCATGCTGATCTCAAACTCCTGACCTCAGGTGATCCACCCACCTCTGCCTCCAAAATTGCAGGGATTACAGGCATGAGCTGCTGTGCCTGCTCAAAGACATTTCTATGCCAGGTCGATCTTGTTCCTTTATCTGAGTGAGCTGGAGGTTTGTGCAAGTTTTTATCCAAATGGGCCAGAGGTTTTTCTATCTGTGCAGCCGTGGGCATGACTTCAAGCACAACACCATGTGCTAGTTCCCTTGTTAGTGCCTGCAGCTTGATTTTTTCCAGGCTTTTTTTTTTTTTTTTTTTTTTTATGTTATGCAGGGATGAGGCACTGACCCAAGGGCCAGGGACTTTCCATGGACCCTTCTCTTGCTATGTACCTAAGGCAAGTTAACTAAGTTCCTTCAAAAGTAATGAGTATTCACTTTTACTTTAGTGAGACAAAAATTATCTGAAACCTATTGCAAAACAATAAAACTATACTTACCACTTCTAAACCATATACTTAAAATGTTAGACATGACAATGACATGTTTTTAACTACAATTAGAAATTTAAGACTACCTAAAATGCACAGTTACAAAATCTTTCAAACATCACCTTTAAATAACAAAAAGTTCTTCTCACATAATTATATAGATTTAAACTATAAGTAGATTGTGAATTTAAGATTATTTCCTGGACTACTCACTTAGACAGAATAACCACTAGAAACCAAGAAAAGAGGGAAATTTATAGCCCTAATATCCACATCAAAAAGCTAGAAAGGGCTGGGCATGGTGGCTCATGGCTGTAATTATAGCACTTTGGGAGACTGGGGCAGGCAAATCACTCAAGGCCAGGTGTTCAAGACCAGCGTGGCCAACATAGCAAAACCCCATCTCTACAGGAAATACAACAATTAACTGGGTATGGTGATGTACATCTGTAATCCCAGCTACTCGGGAGGCTGAGACAGCAGAAATCACTTAAAACCAAGAGGTGGAGGTTGCAGTGAATCGAGATCATGCCACTGTACTCCAGCCTTGGTGACAGAGTGAGACTCTGACGAAAGAAAAAAAAAAAAACTAGAAAGATCTAAAGTTAACAGCCTAACATCTCAATTAAAAGAACTAGAAAACAAAGAGAAAATGAACCTGAAAGCGAGCAGAAAACAAGAAATAACCAAGATCAGAGTTGAGTTGAAGGAGATAGAGGCACTGAAAACTCTTCCAAAAAAAAAAAAAAAAAAAGTCAACCAATCCAGTAGGTGGTTTTTTGAAAAATAAAATAAAGTAAAATAGATGGAAAACTATCTAGGCAAATAAATAAGAAAAGAGAGAAGAATCAAACTCAATTAGAAATAATAAGGGAGATATCACTGATCCCACAGAAATATGAACAACCATCAGAGAATACTATAAACACCTCTATGCACATAAACTAGAAAATCTAGAAGAAATAGACAGTTTCCTTGCAAAATAAATCCTCCCCAAGACTGAACCCTGAATAGATCATTAATGTGTTCTGAAATTGAGGCAGTAATAAATAGCCTACCAACCAAAAAAAAAGCCCATGACTAGATGGATTTGCAGCTGAATTTGACCAGAGTTACAAAGAGGAGATGGTATCCTTTCTCCTAAAACTATCTAAAAAATATTGAAGACAAAGAAGTTCTCTCTAACTCATTCTATCAGGCCAGCGTCATCCTGATACCAAAACCTAGCACAGATACAACAACAACAATAGCAACAAAGCATCGTGCCTATATCCTTGATGAATACTGTGCAAAAATCCTCAATATAATACTGGCAAACCAAATATAGCAGCACATTAAAAAGTGCATCCACCACAATCGAGTTGGCTTTGTGCCCAGGATGCAAGGTAGGTGCAACACACGCAAATCAATGAATGTGATTCATCACATAAAGAGAACTAAATACAAAAACCACAAGATTATCTCAATAGATGCAGAAAAAGCATTCAATAAAATTCAACATTCCTTCAGGTTAAAAATTCTCAATAAACTAGGAACTGAAGAAACATACCTCAAAATAATAGGAGCCATATACAACAAACCCACAGCCAATATCATACTGAATATGCAAAAGCTGGAAGCGTTCCCCCTGAAAACTGGCAAAAGAAAAGCATGCCCTTTCTCACCACTCCTGTTCAAAATAGTATCAGACGCCTTGGCCAGGAAAATTAGGAAAAAGAAATAAAGAGGATTCAAATAGAAAGAGAGGAAGTCAAGTTATCTTTGTTTGCAGGTGACCTGATCCTATATTTAGAAAATTTCATTGCCTCAGCCCACAAGCTTCTTAAGCTGATAAGCAACATCAGCAAAATCTCAGGATATAAAATCAATGTGTAAAAGTAGCTAGCATTCCTATACACAAACAACAGGCAAGCAGGGAGCCAAATCATGAATGAACTTTCATTCACAATTACTACAAAGAGAATAAAATACCTAGGAACACAGCTAAGAAGGAAAGTGAAGGACCTCTTCAAGGAGAACTACAAACAATTGCTCAGAGAAATCAGAGTGGGCACAAAACTAATGGAGAAACATTCCATGCTCACGGACAGGAAGAATCAGTATCATGAAAATGATCATATTGCCCAAAGTAATTTATAGATTCAGTGCTATTCCCATTAAATTACTATTGACATTCTTTACAGAATTAGGGAAAAAAAAACTTTTAAAATTCATATGGAACCAAAACAGAGCCCAAATAGCCAAGCCAACCCTAAGGAAAAAAAAAAAAGCTGGAATCATCACTCTACCTAACTTCAAACTATACTAGAAGAGTACAGTAACCAAAACAGCATGGTACTGGTATAGAAACAGACAGATAGACAAATGAAACAAAATAGAGCCACAAACCTGCAACAATCTGATCTTTGACAAAGTCAACAAAAACAAAGAATTAGGGAAAGGGCTCCCTATTCAATAAATGGTGCTAGGAGAACCGGCTATCCATATGCAGAGAATTAAAACTGGAACCCTTCCTAACACTATATATAAAAATTAAGCCAAGATGGATTAAAGACTTAAATGTAAAACTCAAAACTACAAAAACCCTAGAAGAGAAAATCTAGATAATACCATTCAGGATATAGGCATGGGCAAAGATTTTATAACAAAAATGCCAAACGCAATAGCAACAAAAGGAAAAACAGACAAATCAGGTCTAATTAAACTAAAGAGCTTCTGAAGAGCCAAATAAACTATCATCAAAGCTAACAACATAGAGAATGGGAGAAAAATTTTGCAACCTATCCATCTGACAAATGTCTAATATCCAAAATCTACAAGGGACTTAAACAAAATTTACAAGAGAAAAACAACCCCATTAAAAAGGATATGAAAAGACATATCTCAAAAGAAGACATACATGTGCCCGACAAACATGAAAAGCTCAACATCACTGATAATTGGATAAATACAAATCAAAACCACAATGAGATGCCATCTCACACCAATTACAATGGCTATTAATAAAAAGTCCAAAACAACAGATGCTGGTGAGGTTGTGGAGAAAAGGTAACACTTTTACACTGTTGGTGGGAGAATAAATTATTTCAAGCATTGTGGAAGAGAGTGTGGAGATTCCTCAAAGACCTAGAAGCAGAAATACAATTTGACCCAGCAGTACTATTACTGGGTATACACCCAAAGGAATATAAATCATTCTATTTTAAAAAATACATGTACACACATATTCACTGCAGCACTATTTACAATAGCAATGTCAGGTAATCAATCTACATGCCCATCAATGATAGACTGGAAAAAGAAAATGTGGTACATATACACCACAGAGCACTATGAACCCATAAAATATAATGAGATGATGTCTCCTTCAGGGACATGGTTGGAGTTTGAATCCATTACTCTCAGAAAAGTAATGCAGGAACAGAAAAACAAACAAAAAAACCACTTACTATTCTCACTTATTAGTGGAAGGAGGTCAGTGAGAACACAGGGACACATCAGGAAGAACAACACACACTGGGCACCTGTTTCATGGCATGGGGGAGGGGAGGGTGAGCATCAGGAAGAATAGCTGTGGATGCTGGGCTTGGTACCAGGGTGATGAGATGATCTGTGCAGTAAACCACAATAGCACACGTTTATCGATGTAAGAAACCTGCATATCCTGCACATGGACCCCTAAACTTCAAATAAAAGTTGAAAAAAAAATGCCTATCTGGTGTATTCTCTATGTTAGACCCAAACTGAGGAGCCAGAAGCTGCCACTGGGGGAATCAGGGCTGGGGGCACCCTGGGAAGCCATTCCCTACAGGCCGCCTCCCTTCCTGGCCAGTGATGGAAATGAGAGGGGGAATGTGAACAGCGGTGGAAGTCAGACTCTTGGGATCTAAAGCAGGCCCTGGCCCATGTCCCCCAGCCCAGCCCAGACAGTGTGCCCGCCAGTCTTCCCCACCCAGTCAGCCCAGCCATCAGGATTGTTAGTTGGAACATGGCTCCATCATCACCTAGGCATGTAGGGAAGATGCCCTGGTCCTTACCAAGCAAGGCCTGGTTTCCAAAGTCTCCTCCTAAGAGCCTTCATGTTTGTCACATCTTACAAGACCCCTTTCTGCCGTTCTTGCACCCAGCATGTTGGCCAGTCAAGTTCCCTGACTGAGCTCTCCACACATAAGGAGGAAGCCAACACCACTGCTAAATCAGATCATTTCCAGGGTCTCCAGTATCAGTTATATCAGATCCCAGGAACTTACCTGCTCCCAAGGTGACAGAGGAAGATCAAGGAAGGATCTGTATGGTCACTGACCTGGATGAAACCCTTGTGCATAGCTCCTTTAAGCCAATCAGCAATGCTGACTCCCTAGTGCCTGTAGAGATTGAGGGGACCACTCACCATATCCACGTGCTGAAGAGGCCTTATGTGGGTAAGTTCCTTAGATGGGTAAGTTCCTGAGATGAATGGAGGAACTCTTTAAATGTGTTCTCTTCATTCCAACCTGGATAAGTATGCAGATCCTGTGACAGGTCCGCTGGACTGGTGTGGGGTGTTCTGGGGCTGCCTATCCCATGAGTCGTGTTTGTTCCACCAGGGCTGCTATGTCAAGGACCTCAGCCAACTGGGGAGGGACCTGAAGAAAACTCTCATCCTGGACAACTCGCCTGCTTCTTACATCTTCCACCCAGAGAATGCAGTGCCTGTGCAGTCCTGGTTTGATAACACGACTGATATCAACTGCTGAACCTGTCATCAATCTTTGAGAAGGTGAGTGGAGCAGAGAGCATCTACATTAGCCTTGTACAGCAGTGGGCCCTAAGCCTTCCCTGCTTCCCAGCAGTGACCATCACAATGGGGGACTTTCACACACTATGCCTTTATGATCAGCCTGACAGAGTGGAAGATGGAGCACCTAGCCTCATGGGCATGGAAAGAATGAGAAGTGATTGAAAAGAGCTTTAGGACAGCTTAGATGCTGAGTGGGTGAATGTCAGACCAAGGATGCCCAGAGCTACCTGCCAACAAATTGTTGGGTTCCCGAGATGTGTGTGAGAGAGAAAGAAAGAGAGCATGCGTGTTTTGCCATGAACTGTGGCCCCACATGTAGAGTGTTTCAGTGGGGGAGAAACGGCAAGACCAAGACTTTTCTCAAGTTAGCTTGTCTCCTCTCCTGTCACCCTACGAGCCACTGAGTTCCAAAGGGATGACTATTGAACACTCCATTGCAAATCTGGTCTTTCCTCAGTGTTGCAAGGCCTATGCCAAGGAGAAAGGAAGGGTATGCCTTTTGGTGTTCCAGGCACACATCTTTCTGAAATATTTCTCCAGCCAGTTGTTGCAGACAAAAGTTGACATTTCAGGGAAGATGGAGACTTATGTCCAGGCCAGTACTCAAGTCATCAAGTCTTGTGGCCCAAAGGCTATGCTTACTTACCTCCAGCCAAGTGCCAGAGATGGATCATTTCTGCATCTCCCCAAGGCTCAGGTTGTCTCCCTGCCCTACAAGAGAACAGATAAATGATTTCTGTTCTTTTGACTCTGTTTCAAAATTATCTTTCAACTACAAAAAGACTATCCAAAACTGAAAAAAAAAAAAAAGGAAAAAAAGATGTCATACTTACATAGTTGAAAAACACATAGATATGTCTATAAGCAACAGACATGGTTAATTCACATATAAATTGAACATCACATTGTTGTAAAGTGTACCGAGTTAAAAATTATCATTCAACTCATAATATCAAGCTTTAAAAGCAAAAATACAATTCACCGATCTGAGAAAACATACCCCCCCCCAGAAAAGAAACAAAATAACACAGAATTGAAAATAAGAGGAGACTTTAATGCATAAAATCCTGAATACAGCATAGATATACAATGAAAAGTAATTCTTTAGATATCTACAGCTATTAACTGTGTGTACTCATGAAAAGCAGACATTTCAAGTCATTGGCATTTAATAAATTGCAGTACAATTATACAGAAAATATATTACAATCATTAACAACAGGTTCTAATGAGAAGATTTTAATAAATAAGCACTAAAAAGACAGGTGAATTTTATTATGTTCTCAATATGTTGCTGCTATTCTTACCACAAAATGTAATAAAACTATATGACGAAAATATAGCTTTCAGGAGCTAAAAAGTTTTATATTTTCAATTAAAAGAACAACATAAATTTTGCAAAAAACGAGCATTACTGAGGTATAAAGTAAATATTTGGAATTAAAATATAACATCATTTAGATACAGACTAAAAAAAGAATATAAATATTAATGATTCCTTTCTGCCTACAGTGGGCTTAAAATTACAATGAAAAATTTTAATAAATATGTAGCACCTACAATAAATTTTATTTACAACTTACATAATGTGTAAATTTGAACAATTTATTTTACACCTTTTGAATCTAAAAATCACAAGCTTGACATGCATTTCAGAAAGTGAAACATAAAGGAGAGTAACATAAGCAAGAGGACAGAATGGGAGGTCCTGCATGCACATCCCACACAACATAATGCGGCAGCCACAGCAAACATAAGTGCATTTATGAAACCCTTGGGATCCAGTTCAGAGTTTGTGACACCCAGATGGAGGCAAAGACCAAGGAAGACATCTTCAGAGGGTAAGCACTTGACTGTAGCAGGACGAGCCGCAGACAAAACTCCTCAGACACCGGATTAAAGAAGGAAGAGGTTTTTTATTCAGCCGGGAGCCTCGGCAGACTCGCGTCTTAAGAGCCGAGCTCCCCGAGAAAGAAATACTTGGCCTTTTTAAAGGCTTACAACTTTAAGGGGTCCATGTGAAAGCGTCGTGATAAATCAAGCAAGTGTGGGAAACGTGACTGGGGGGCTACATGCATCAGCTAACAGAACAGAAAGTTTTACAATGCTTTTTTCATACAGTGTCTGGAATTTACAGATAACACAAGTAGTTTAGGCCAGGGGTTGATGTTATTCTTATTACTTTGTTTAACTCCTAGGACTGGGTGGTGGTGCCAAGGTTGTCCGGCTTTTTATCTTACTTTTGTTTCTCTCTCTCTTTTCTCCTGTCTTGTGAACTAGGCAAGGTGGGGGGAGGAGGGCAGCAGGAGTAGTAGTGGTCTCCTTCCTTATCCCCCACTTTGAGAATTTTCACTAATTGGTGGCAGTTCTCACTTTTATTTTTACTTTCTGAGTCTCTTTGCAAGACAGAACAATAGTTGTTTCTGTAATATACTTATGCTGAAGTTTTCTGATGAACCATGGTAGCTATAAAACCTTTTATCATTTGAAGGAACAAGTGTAATACACAGGGGAGCAGCAAGTAACTTTCTATTACCAGTAACATACGTATAATGAGGGTGTTAAATTTTTATAGCTGGAAACTGTTTTCTAAGTGAAGACCTAGGATCAAACCTGTGTTAAACCTGTACAGGCACATGTATCAACTTTGTCATGTCCTAAGCAGGTTAGTTTTGTCACTGGGTCTTAAAAGCTTTTTAGCGAGTAACACAGTATTTTTTAATAACAGGAGTTTTTCAGAGCCAGATGCTTGAACTTGAGGCATCTGTTTGGGGAAAGAGTTAAAGTAAAGTTATCTTGAGGCATTCACTCTTTTGCTTCTCAAGGCCATTGGTCTCTTATGTTAGCCTTTTAATAAGTATAACATGAAGAAACGTCTAGGCTGCCAGCAATGTTTTCAGCCAACTGAGCAAATAGGCTTTTTTTCTGCTTTTACTAAAGAAAGAGGTTCTACTAAGGAACCTCTAAAGGAAGAGGTTCTGGTAACTTCTGGTTTATATGTTTAAAGAATGACTGTAAGACCAGGAATTGTTGCTGCGCTGGCCGAGTTTGGGTTTCCTAAGTAGTTTGTGTACAGTGGGGACACCTCATATAGGTGTTTCTTCTAGCATGGTTATGGAGGGGTAACAACAACAAAATAATGTACAGCAAGGACAAAAGATGTCCTTACCTAGGGAAAAGGTTGAATACAGCGACAGAACAATAGGAAAACAGTATTACAGGAAAACTATTAGTCTTAAGATTTTTAACTATATTTACTTGCTTGATGAGTCCTCAAGCTTCGGCCGTGTGTAGACTAGTCAGCTACCAGTGTGTGACTAGAGCAGTGCTTGTTGTTTCCTCAAGCTTCAGCCATGCATAGACTGGTCAGCCTCCGGAGTGACCAGAGCAGGGCTGTCGTCGTCAGCAGTAGCTTGGTCTCATCTCAGGATCAGCTGGGTTGGATAATCTGTGTCCTGCTAGCTGGTCCACTTCTCCTGAGCTGCCAGTGTTAGTTGACTGTGGTGGATCCAAGACACAACACCTGCAACTTTAACAGCAGTGGCAGTGGACAAGGTTACAGTATAGGGCCCATCCTATACGGGTCCTAGAAAAATTAGATTTTACTTTAAACAGAGTCACTAGATTTAAAGGGGTGTCAGACTTATAGGCATTTTCATTTATTTTATTTTGAACACTTTGTATGGCTATTTTTAAAGCCTGCATTTGCTTTCTTAAGGTTAATTTCTTTAGTTTCTGGCAGTCACCTTTAATTTGACCTACGATTTGGGGGTGGCCAACCAAACAAAATTTTATAGAGCAAATACCTAGTTTGTTTGGTGGGGGTGCACCTGACTCGGAGGAGGACCATAGGCAAAAACTTAATTTTATCTTAAATGAGCAAACAAGCACTAGCATGTACAATAGTCTCCACCATGGGGCAGTTCTGTAAATTCTATAAGCAAGTTTTCACAAGGTATGCCTTTTCTTACTGTTTAAGTTACTTAGAGGGGGTTTGCCTCCCCATTCCCCCTTTGTAACTCTATTTAGTGGCTTAGCCTTCAGTGAGTTACTGGAATCCAGATACGGCAGAATCTTGCTGCTTTTAACTTTTAATGTGACCATGGGCTCCTGGGAGCCTAATGAAAAGGTGCTTAGTCTGCCCTAGTCTTTATATTCTTCAGCTCCTGTCAGTCTGATCAGATTAGTATTTGGTTCCTACAAGGTGTGGCAGCCCTTGACCAATGGCCTCTTTGAACATTTACCTTTTTAGTGTCCTTTCCTTTTGCATCTCGCACATTAATCTCTCTCTAGCCTTGTCCGGCTCTTGAATCCTTGCCTAACTTGACTTCTTTTACATTTACATCCACATCCACGTCTTCTCACATGACTAATTTCTCTTTTTTTTTACACTTAATGTTAGTCTTTTTCTTTTTGCTCTTTTCCAGTTTACTGATGTCCAAGCCTGGTCCCAGAGGTCAAGCCTGCTAGAGTAAACTGAGTCCAACAGTTCTACACAATCATGCTTGACAGGGCTCTCTGATACTGGGAGCAAGGTGGTGGGTTCAGGGTGTTACAAACTTCAATAGTTATATGGGGATTTTCACAGAGCACACTTTGGTACTTGGTGAGTGTAGCATTAGTTAACCAATGATGTCCTTTAGTATTCATTAAAGTCACTACAGCATGGGGGGTCTTTATGGTCAAGTTTTGCCCAAGAGTCAGCTTATCTGCTTCTTGTACTAGTAGGGCAGTTGCTGCCAAGGCCCTCAAACGTGGGGGCCATCCTTTAGAAACCCCGTTTAGTTGTTTACAGAGGTAGGCCACCGGCCTCAGCCACAGACCCACAGTTTGGTTTAAAACTCCAACTGCCATCTTTTCAGATTAAAGAAGGAAGAGGTTTTTTATTCAACCGGAAGTGTCAGCAGACTCACATCTTAAGAGCTGAGCTCCCCATGAAAGAAATATTTGGCCTTTTTAAAGGCTTACAACTTTAAGGGGTCCACGTGAAAGGGTCGTGATAAATCGAGCAAGCGTGGGAAACGTGACTGGGGGCTACATGCATCAGCTAACAGAACAGAAAGTTTTACAATGCTTTTTTCATACAGTGTCTGGAATTTACAGATAACACAAGTAGTTTAGGCCAGGGGTTGATGTTATTCTTATTACTTTGTTTAACTCCTAGGACTGGGTGGTGGTGCCAAAGTTGTCAGGCTATTTATCTTACTTGTATTTCTCTCTCTCTTTTCTCCTGTCTTTGAACTAGGCAAGGTGGGGCGAGGAGGGCAGCAGGAGTAGTAGTGGTCTCCTTCCTTATGACCAAGTGGCAGACTTGCCAATCATGGTCCTGGCTTCAAAACAGAACACTACCACATCTTACTTTAGACTTGGCTATAACTTATTTGGCTTTGGTCCTGCCACTGCAACAATCTGCCAAAAACCCAAGAGAATTCATACTCACATGAGATTGCGGTGACAGGCTTGCAGAACTTTGTTGTTTCTGTGTCCCTGAATCAGGCAAAACACACATTCTTTATTTCTCTAGCCATGGTCTGCAAGAAATCTTCACATTGATATGATGAAATGCTAACTAACTATGTGAAAAATAATAAAATATACATATCACTAAAAATGGTAAATACATACTGAAATTCAGAATACTTTAAATTGTTATCATCTTAAACTGGACTGTTAAAATACAAGATGTTTTA